CTTATTTAAGTAGTTAATTAATGTAGTTCATGCTCCAAAAAGAAACATTAATAATAAAATATTTAACTATTCATCCCAAAAGAAGACAGGAAAAAACAAGTCAATATAAAGCATATTTAGTAATCAAAAATTTGAATATTATAGTGAACCTTGTTTTCATTCTCTCTGCCTCCGTGAAAAGTTCAGACACGCAATGGTTAGAGGAAACACAACAGAAAACCTTTGGGGACCACTGCTTGTAACCTTTAGGTTCAGACAAACCTATCTCACTCCAAAGAGAAAAAAAATAGTTAATTTCAAAGATAAAACAACCAGGCTTACAAAACTCATTAGGCGCTAATTTATATGCTACATTCATTCAACTGCCTGACAGGAGGGGGTAGCCAGGTGGGGGTCAGTCTCTTCTCCCATGTAATAAGCAATAGGATGAGAGGAAACAGCCTCAAGTTGAGGCCAGGGAGGTTTAGATTGGATATTAGGAAAAATTTCTTCCCCGGAACGGTTGCCAAGCATTGGAACGGGCTGCCCAGGGGAGTGGTTGAGTCCCCATCCCTGGAGGTATTTAAAAGCTGTGTAGATGTAGTGCTTAGGGACACGGTTTAGTGGTGGAATGGCAGGGTTAGGTTAATGGTTGGATTTGATGATCTTAAAGGTCTTTTCCAACCTAAATGAAACGATTCTAGTCTGACCCACAGACTCAACCCCCCTTAGCAGCTGGAAAGGTTAGAAACTAAAGTATCCAGACAGTGCTCTCCCATCTTTACTCATTGATTTATACCCCAGACACTCTGGTGGGTACGTTAGGAAACTGGGGAGAAGGAAGACAGGACCAGTTCCTCACACATAGCAATGAATGATTATCCGCATAACTGCAATGGCATAGCACTTCACCCTAGGCAGAGAAGCTCACTTTCCTTTTCTGACCCACTACGCTCTCCGCCCTTCTGTGAGCCCCTCTGCTTTGCACACAAGTTTGTGTATCAGTTCCCAGAGATCGCACTCAGCAAACAACACTGAGGCAGCAAGATGAACGGAAGTGAGACAAGGATTTGGGAAGAAAGTTTGGATTTGTTCCAGTGGCCAGTCATGCTCTTCATCTGAGCTATTGGAAAACTTCGACCTTATGCCACAAGCTGGGGTTACTTGTTGAGCTGTTCAATAGCAGATACTCTTTTTTTTTCCACAGTGATGATTTCCTAATAATTCACAAAGCATTCTTACTACGTGGTGACTGCTTTAGCATGATTTTCAAATACTATATAGTAAAATTAGGTTTACGACAACTTGAAAATCTGCATTAGCTCTCAGGGAACTAGGGGGAACCCCACAGACCAATGATTTAGCTACAGAACCAATAGTTACATTTTTCTGAAAGAGCTCTGACATAGCAATAGAGATTTAGGTAAGGACTGCCATTATTTAAAGAAAACTGAAAAAAAGCTGTTCACAACCTCACGGTTTACAAGCAACAAGAGTTGAGAGACAGGGCAGCCTAAGCACACCAGGAGGTTGCTTCTGCTCAATCTGCGCGTCTTGTGGTGTTCTATTTAAAGCCAGCACATGTGTTTCAATAAAGAGAGATATTTTCTTTGCATTTATGCTGTCTCTATCTTTTTCTTCTTTTTAATTGTCATTCGCTGAATCTTACACATTGACTATACCTTTTCTGAGGACAAAGTCTGTACTGCAGAGGCTGCATATTTTTTAATCAAAGACTTTCACTATTTGCAAGTATCTTCAAGAAATGCTGGGAGTTTTCCCTATTTTTTACTTCCAAGACTTTTATTTTTTTCATATTTTCATAAACTAAATCACAGGTCTTCCAGAGGATAACAACATCTAAAGGCAAAACGCCCTACAAACACAGAGAGTCAGAGAACTGGAGAAGAAAACAATACTGAATATAAATTTCAGCTTAAGCTCTTATTGCTAGAGTTGAGTCCTGAAGTTCATGGCAAACATGCATTTGATTTCAAAAGGACAAATAATTGACACCCTGGCTTCTAATTGTTCTGAAATATCTCCTGGCAGAAAGAAAACTAAGAGTAATATATCATTTTACTACAATATTCAGACTTTGGAATACAAATTCTCAGAGCTGTTTTCATGAAAAACAATACGCAATTTGAAAAGTAGCAAAAGTTCACATTAAAAAGCAGAAAAAAAATGCTACAACTTGCATTTTGTAATCAGATGGCACTTTAAAAACTTTATGCCCTGCTTTACATCTCACCTAATAGCTTTTTCTTAACAAAATATTATAAATTAGCTTAACTTTAAGATTAATATTTCGCTCTCAAATAAAAAGAACGAGATTTTCAAAGCTTTATATTATGTTTATCTCAAGAAAAAGGAAATAGGCAAATTGTGAAGAAAACCATATACCAAAATAAGAATATATGCATTATTCAAATCAAGGTGCAAATCTGAATAGTAGATGAGATTTTCCCAAATACACTGATTATATTAATAGCTATTTGAATAACAACTGTATTATGAATAGGGCTGCGTAAAATCAAATTTAACTGAAGCAACATCTGGCATACTAAAGGTGTCGCAAAAGTTATATCTGTAATTTGCAAAATTAATTCCTTTAAAAGTGTGAAATATTCATCGCCCATCATGTTTTTAAGATTATGAGCTCAGACCTTTATGAACACCAGATTTCATTAAATACCCTTGCTACATTTAAAGACTATTGCTTACAGAGAAAAATAGTGGTGGAAGTAAAGGCACAAATGGTTGCAGGTATCCGCCAGCTCCCTGCAAACTGCACACCCAATTATAAGAACAAGGAATCAGTTGCTTTTAGAACAGCATTCAGGCTGAGTTGCTGCCTTGCCTCATTCTATCCCAGGTTTTGAGAGGACTCTTTGCCAACATTCACCTCCACCTGCAACACGCACTAACAAGATGTTTATAGTCCTACTCTGATCAGCACTTATATTTACTAGAATTAGTACTTCAAATGAATTTGGGAGATTTTTGTAGTGACATTTAATGACATTTTCACCCAAAGCATGCAAAGGCTTTAGGGTCATTACTGACTGTGTTTTAAAGGGATCTGCAGGCTGTATTTCATTAGTAGAACAACATTGATTTACTACACAAATCATTACAAAGAGCGAGAAGTATTTATCGTACTTTATAAGGCAGTGTGATTTTCATGTGACAACTTATGCACATCTGAAAGCCACAACTAATTACTAAATTGGGTAGTGGTACCATTATGTCTAATGTGCTGGAAATAGCATATGCATAAATGAGAACCCAGAAAAATTATTAAGATATATTGACATACTTTATTGCAGTAAATGCTACTACAACTGCAATCACTACTTAAATCTTAGTTCTGCAATAAACTCCACAAAGATTGGCCACTGTGAGAAGAGGCAGCTCTGTGCAGGTTGAGGGCTTCAGAGGTTATGTTTACCTCAGTGTGATGAGACAAATTATCCTCTGAGGATAAACTGATTGAACAACATTAATTTCTCAAAATAAACTGAACAGCCAGAAGACATGAGAGGTTATCTGCTCCAGGTAACATTTCATGTATTATTTATAATACAACTCTCCCATAGTACTTTTTTTTTTTTTTTTTTTTTTTTTTGCTTTTTAAGAAGGAATTCTTAACTTCAGTTGATTTTATAATCAGTGGCATGTTGGTTACTAACATTAGTGTACATAAACATTTCCACAATACTTGACATTTGAGTTTTATATAAAATAATTTAAAGCTGATGGAATTCTTGACATTTCATTTTTCCTTTTCACCTAAAAGAAGTTTAAAGAATAAATTATGTGGCCCACAAATACTTCAACTCTTCATAACCAAGAGTACATTAGTTAAAGCAGCCCTGGGCAAGACAGAGTGTGCTCAACTGCAACAGAAGGTTGTGGGTTCAGACTTGCAATTATTAAATACTGAGAAACACGATCCACCTTGTGCTCTCTGTCCTAAAAAGACACTCCTTTCTCAAAATAATGCATCCTCAAGTTGTAAAATTATACGTTTTTACTTCTCACACCTTGAGAATAGCTAAGATTTTTTATCTATAAGTATTTCTACACAGAGAAATTGATAATGATCACACCTGTTTGAAGACACATAGAGAGTTCATCCCACACTGGTGATATGATGCACTAGTACAACTAAGAGCAATTTTGACACCTTTGAATAAAATGTATGGCCTCCATACCACTCTGTACTACTTACTGCATAAAAAGGAATGACTTTATTACTTGAAAGCTTATCCTTCAATCAGAGACACAAGAGCAAAATATTCACAACAGCATTTATAAAATTGGAGATTATCCCCACTGAAAGACCACTGAACAGTAATTATAAGACTTCATGGAGTATTTCATAACTAGAAAAAACATTCACTTACTGTAACATGTACAAGACTGAAGTGGAGCTTAGGAGCCTTCCTAAATAACGTAGCAAAGAGAACGAGGACTTGTTCTGTCAATGATACTTCAAATGTAATGGTTTTAGACCAAAAAAAAAAAAAAAATCATTGACATAGAACGTGTAAAATTATTGGCATAGACTTTATTTTAAAGACATCTCTGCAAGACAGTGAAAGACATTTTCCTCAGAAGAAAAGTAACTAGGTGGTGATTTAGAAAAAACTTTTGTAATACCTATTATTTTATATGCTTACGCAAATAGAAAAATACTAAAAAGCTATGACACCTTCCCAGGTCAGGCCCCACATCCTTGTTCAATTTCATTTTCAAAGACACTCATGACGTGTTATTTGGCTATAATAATCACTTGAAAGCAGCAAATATGTCTTGATTAAAACCAAGCACAGTAAAAACTAATAAAGAATCCAGTTATGAGGAAAACCAAAACTTATTTCATTGCTCATCATTAAATACAGAGTGAACAGGAGGATAAATGCAGGCAGATGTGTTAAAAGAGTTTGTTTTTAATAATCTGAGATTTAATAATAAAATATTATCAGTTTAAATAAATGTTTATGTACCATAAAATTGGAAATCCTAACATCTACAATTAGTGTAATGTATTTTTCAGGGTTTAGGCATGCATTTTCATCCAAACTGCAATTGTTTGTGACTTTACAATAACATCTTCCAGGTTTGAACCCCTTCAATGTCTCTTCTATGTTGCAATGTTGAAAAAAAAAAAAAAAACCAGACAAGAGGGTAACTCCATAGGATCCCAGCAAATCATTTAGCATATGCAAAGATCAATTAAGCTTTTGGTCATACACTATAGTCTCCAGTGCCAGATCACAGATACTATTCAAAGATACAAATAGTAATCAAAATTAACATTTGTTTCTTCCTATGCAGTTCTCATTGCAATAATATGGCATCTGAATAAAGCAGCAGCTTCCTGGTTTAAGCATTTCCACTGTATTTATTTGCTCCTCTCAGTAATACCAGGACTCAAATGAAAGCAAGTCTTTTTCATTCAAAGATCTGAGTCCTCAGGTTTCAGAGGAATTTTTTTTTTTTCCTGAACTCAGGTTCTTCAGAAACGGGGTCACTTTTTTCCAGCTCTGTCTACAGAAAAGTCTAAGTCCACATCAAACTGTAACAAAACCTAAGGCTTTAGGTTTTCCACAGCTCTTTGTGTAAGTGAATATGTAAGGGCAACAGAAGACCAGGGAACCATAGCACATAGCTAAGCAGTTTTTCAACAAGTTTATAAACCCCTCTAAAGAAGGGATAAAATAATCCAATTCCTTTGTTGCATATGTCTAACATCTTCAGAATATTGATATCAAGGTGTATGTACAAAAAAACCCGCTAATTTTCATAAAATGTCAGTATAAATATACCTCCTTGACACACTCCTCACAGTGATTTCTACATGCAAATTAAATGTTTGTTTTAAATGTGCAGTTGTCAGAACTTTGTGTTTATCTTCATATTTCCATTAGAAACCATCCTTTGCAAAACAAAGTTTCAGGTAAGAATGCTTATACAGAGCACCCTGGATTCATATCAATAAAATATTAAAATTCTGATGTACATATTTGAAAATCATTTTGTATTTTCAGATAGGAGTTGATGAACTGCACAGTTCTCATTCCAGTCGCCCTTGCTTAGCATCACCTATTGCTCCCCATACATCAAAGACAAACTCATCTGGAAATGCAAAGTCTCCAAGAGTTTCATCCAATGCCACTGCAAATTCATCTGGGTTTTTCTTGTCTCTTCCAGCTTCCACCATTGTTGCAGCTAAAAAGCAACAAAACAAAACAATGTAATTATCATGATAGTGACAGCTAACATGTATGGCCAAGATAGTTTTTGAATGTCTGTTTTCAAAACCAGGTTAGGTCATCTTAGGGAGATGTAAAACTTACCTACTGAATCTAGGATTCCATAGGAATTACGTACGTAAATCCCCCCCCGATTAGCTTCATTCTGCCCTGATAAACTTCCTTGGAGTGCTCATTATATACTCTTCTGTTTGTTTAGCAGAGATTTAATTTTTAATTCAACAAACCTTCACTTTAATCTTATTAAATTATATTCTGCATTCATTACTGAAGGCACATGAAGCATGGGTCTAAAAAACAAGGTTAAGCACAACTCTTCTGCGATAACAAGACCCGTGCCAGCTCATCGCCAGCTTCAGTGAGTTTGATGAGCTTGCTGATCTAAACCAGAAGATCAAAAGGCAAACCTGAATGTTTTTCTCCTCTAAACAATGAAGAAAAGATCTCAGTAAGTCAGAGTTTAAAGTGGCCAAGTTTTTCCACAGAAAGCCAAAAGGCATAGGGTTTGAACATGGAAAACAACACACAGCCTGCATAATAGATACATGCAAGCAAGCTACTATGGGTTTTACACATTCAGATGTTGAGCATGACCTGCATTTGGTAATGCATAAATGGTCCTAGAGAAAACACTTGAATACCCTGCTTTAGGAAATAATAATGCAAATACGAGGCTCAACTAATGTGTTGTGTAAAATACAGACAAAAAGAAAATGTGGTTTGTTAGGTATTGGACACAGTAGGTTTGCAACTGCCTGAAAGAAGCTGTGCTCTCAAGAAACTACCACATGACCTCAAACAGATCTGTTTATATTTTCAGCTTAATTTTATTTAATTTTAATTAACTTTAGCCTAATTTTTTAACCCAAAACCACACCTCCAGGCAGTAAAGAAACTGAGGCATTTATTGTAAGCCACATTATTCTTCTTGGATCTACGTTTTTTTTCAATACCATCCAAACTGAAGAGTAACTAATTTCAGTGCATGAGTTTGCTTCAGATATTATTACCTCCAGCTCTGAAAAGCAAATCTTTAATTTATAGCACCCCTCAAGGCTGGGGAAGTTTGTGCTTATGCCACTATGAAGTGAAAAAGATCAAAGTTATTTCTGGAAGTCTCAGCCAGGTGGTTCAAATCATGAAACAGCATGGGAAAGGCCTTGCTGCTGTGCACAATAAACCTGAGCCACCAAAAACTAGGAACATCTTGGTACCCAGGAAAATTAAAGCAGAGAGGTCTGATAAAACAGAGGTAGACAGTGATATCTTGTATACCCATGCTGTATGGCATTTTCTCATATTTAACATCCAACTATCAGAATTTATCAAGTTTTAAGACTTTAGTTTTAAAATGGCTACACTGGGGTCGTTGCTTAGATCTCAGTTCTTAGCTGCTGTGCTCATCCCTCACCTTTAGCCACTGCACAGTTTCTCAGATTCCAAAACAAATTACAAGTCTATCCCAAACAACACTGGATGCTGGCAACCAGAGGAAATGAAAACCATGAGGGCTCAAACCTCTCTCGGTCATGGAACCTGCACCTCCCTAAAGGATGGAAAGTGTCAGCACAGGAGTTTCTCCCGGTTAAGCTAGGCCAGGAGAACCACTGGCAGCAGGCTATCGTGGGTTGAGAGCTGCAGAAGACTCTGTAAAACAGACTCAGCACAAACAGCACTGCTGAATGCAGTTTATTTTCTGTATCTCTGCTCCACAGCCTCTGTTCATAAGAAATGATGGTATTGTACAGTAGAGGAAACCCCCAAAGTCTGCTTTGTTTCGTGATTACTTTACACACCTGCCTCAAACTGCGAGATGTCCTCCATCTTTTGTTATACATCAAGTAATTACCACCTTCTTCATCAGCGTATCAAATTCAAGTGTCACGCTGAAGGATTTGATAGCTTCTAGCCTTTTCTCGGAGGGATATACGAGTGGAAAACTTGTATTACAGTGCCTGAGAAAGGCAAGGAAGTTCTGAAGCCACAGCAGACCACCTTCACTGGGACAGTCTGCTGTCTACTGTATTGTATCAACACAGCAAAATCTCTCTGATGGAAAGGAAAAGAAGCTTCCCCAGCTCTGAAGTTTTATTAAATGTATTTAATGTTATTTTGTTGACCTGAAACTCAGCTCAAGTTTATTGACAGTTATGAACTTCTGGCAAACAGTGTTTGCTGTTACGCAAACTTGTAACAAGCTGTGAGCAAACTTGAGCCATATTCCACATTGTAGACGTCAGCAACAATAATTCTGAAGAAATTTGACGTTTTGGTTTTAACTACGTTCAGACGTGAGGCTTCAAACTGACTCGCAGCGTGCCAAACTACACAAAGCAGTCCAAGGAAAATCTGCGTAAATCTTGACAAACAAAATGCTGCGATCGAGACAGTTCAAGTGTAACCCAGCTTCCCAGGCACCACTAGTGGTCCTCAAGGACTCCCAAAGACCTGTTTCCCTGCCAGAAGAAATCCTGTCCCTGTTGCATTGATTCTTTCTGTGTCCCCTGTGAAGTTCCTGGGACAGTGACTCAGAGATGTCTGGATGGGAAACAGGCGTCAAACAGGGAACTCTTGTTCCTGACAAGTGGAAGAGACAAGTATTTGCCCTATCAACACCACCCTACATCCCTTGACACCGTAGCATAAGAAGGTACATAAGACGAGCAACCCCGGAGCTAATGAGGTAAAGGGTGTAATTTAAACTTCACAGATTTCTGCATGCGAACCAGGACATGAAGTTATTCTACACAGACACTGGGAGAGGGTTGGAAGGAGAAGAGCTGTGAGAGGTGACACAAGAGCAAACATGTCTAAATATAGTTACTCAAGATACTAAAAAAAAGTTGCCATCAACAGAGTGAGGATCTAGCCCAGTGTTCCGGCAGAAAGAGATGGAGCAAGGAATTTAACCAGTTTTAAGATAAATTGGTCAAGACCTATGGAGAGCCATATGACACAGACAGCAACAATAAAACAAGACAGCATCAATAAAACAAGACAACGCAGCAGTCCAACTGCCCTAGCTGAAACCTCAGAATTACGCCATAACAAACTCCATCATTAGCAGAAAATGCTACTTCAAACACAATTTTCTTTAAAGATTGAGCTCCCCAAATTATAAAATAGAACCTTAAAAATAGTTTACTATAGATTTACCAAACTTGAAAACAAAATCCACTGAACTTAGATAATCAAGACAACTTTCAACCCAGTCAAGCAACAGTCAGAATGTCACCACCATGTGAAAGCAGCAGCCTTAAATAAAAGTGTTTTCAACTACAGTGAGCAACTGCAACCAGCACTACCAGGGTACACTTAATGTACTATATTTGTTAAAGCACATTCCCCTTCCCAGATTCACCTGACTGGAACAGGCTGCCCAGGTAAGTGGTCGAATCCCCATCCCTGGAGGTATTTAAAAGACGGGTAGACAAGTTGCTCAGAGATGTGGTTTAGTGGTGGGATGGCAGTGTTAGGGTAACAGTTGGACTCGATGATCTTAAAGGTCTTTTCCAACCTAAACGATTCTATGATTCTTTGTAACGAAATATGCTTCCGTGGAGGGATTGCAGGACCTCTCACTGCTGGGGAGTACGTTTTCCATAGCTTGGTGCTGACCTCTAGTGTCAGCAGACTTGTATTACCGTGCAGCAAACCCTAACGCGAGATGCCACCCATCCTCCCTGATTTTCACACACAGGTTGTGCCACTGATGCACGAATGGGCAAAGCTGAACCCTGCATCACTAATTTCGTACCTACAGCAACACTACAGCTGACCAGCTCTCCTCTGAGGAAAGGCTGAGGGAGCTGGGCTTGTTTAGCCTGAAGAAGAGAAGACTGAGAGGGGATCTCATAAATACTTAAAAGTATCTCAAGGGTGGATGTCACAAGGACGGAGTCAGACTCTTCTCAGTGGAGCCCAGCGATAGGACAAGAGGCAATGGGCACGAACTGAAGCATAAGAGGTTTCACTTGAATGAGGAAGAATCATAGAATCACTTTGGTTGGAAAAGACCTTTGAGATCATAGAGTCCAACCTTTAACGTAACCCTGCCATCCCACCACTAAACCATATCCCTAAGCACCTCATCTATCCTTCTTTTAAATACTTCCAGTGATGAGGACTCGACCACCTCCCTGGGCAGCCCATTCCAGAGCCTGACAACCCTTTCGCTGAAGAAGTTCTTCCTAATGTCTAGCCTAAACCTGCCCTGGCGCAGCTTCAAACCATTCCCCCTCGTCCTATCATCTGTTACCAGGGAGAAGAGACCGAGAACTGAGAAGAGAACGTATTTACTGTGAGGGTGACAGAGCACTGGAACAGGCTGCTCGGGGAGAGTGTGGAGTATCCTTCTCTGGAGATATTCAAACCCTGCCTGGACAATGTCCTGTGCAACCTGGTGTGGGTGAACCTGCTTTAGTAGGGGGGTTGGCCTGGATGATCTCCGGAGGTCCCTTCCAACCCCTGCCATTCTGCAATTCTGTGACCAGTCTTCTCCATCACTCAGCACACATGGTCTTTATGTCCCCAGGCAGTTAGCCTAGAGCTGGGATGGCATCCCCTCCTCCTCACCACAGCTGTGCTGAACATGATGTTTACACAATGACATTTGCAATGCGTAATTCCCAAGGCAAATCAAAACCTACTGATTGCCAAGGCATTTAGCAGATACTTGCCAACTTGAAGAAAACTTCTCTGGTTCTCACACGGTGACAGCTCTGTGCGAAATTGCCTCCACTCCCCTCCCTTTCCCCCACTGCTGCTTGTAACAGCTGCACAATAAGTGATTACAGAAATTTTATTCCAACAGAATATTTTTTCCACACTCCAGATAGCCTCAATTGTTTTCAGATATTTTTTTTTCAAATCTCACTCAGGTATCACCATTGACTGAAAATTTTTACATAAAATGTGAAAAGTTCAGCAAACTTAAAAGTGATAGAAGGAATTAGAAGTCTTCTCAACTTTAACTAAGAAGCTCAGTATCAGGCTTCCCAGAACATGAACGAAGAAGTATGTTGGCTTTTTAAACCTAGTCCCTTTAAAATAACGTCAAAGATCTTTCACAAAATCTTTATTTTCACTTTTGATAGACACATGCGGCCCAAGCCACAAAAGCTACGATCTGCCTGACGTCGTTAGGACCTACCTTTCATGGTGGTTTTGCTGCCTATATCCTATCCTGTAACTTCTAAAAAAGTTTTTTCATAAGCCTTAGGAGAAATTTCAGTATTTAATTAGCTGTAATGCTGTCAGAAGCTTTGCCTTCATCGAAAGGTAATGAATATTATTGTTCTGGCCTGACGCTTTAAGAGAGCTAAAATTCACATTCAGCTTCCTTATGACATGACAGAAAATGAAGCGTGTCATTGCGGTTTCCAGCATTTAACATTACTTGGTTTTAATTTTGTGTTGAACATTGTCAGATCTGGCACTCAAGGAACTATTAGAAATATCCTTTCTACTTAGATTCATAGAATCATTTAGGTTGGAAAAGACCTTTAAGATCATCAAGTCCAACCTTTACGCTAACCCTGCCATCCCACCACTAAACCATGTCCCTAAGCACCTTGTCTACCCGTCTTTTAAATACCTCCAGGGATGGGGACTCGACCCTGGGCAGCCCATTCCAATGCTTGACAACCCTTTCATTGAAAAAACTTTTCCCAGTGTCTAACTTAAACCTCCCCTGGTGCAACTTGAGGCCATTCCCCCTCGTCCTATCGCCTGTTACCAGGGAGAAGAGGCTGACCCCCACCTCGCTACAGCCTCCTGTCAGGCAGTTGTAGGGGGTGATAAGGTCTCCCCTCAGCCTCCTCTTCTCCAGACTAAACAACCCCAGTTCCCTCAGCTGCTCCTCATAAGACATGCTCCAGATCCCTCATCAGCTTTGTTGCTCTCCTTTGGACATGCTCCAGCAACACAACGTCTTTCTTGTAGTGAAGGGCCCAAAACTGAACACAGTATTCGAGGTGCAGCCTCACCAGTGTGGAGTACAGGGGCACGATCACTTCCCTACTCCTGCTGGCCACACTACTCCTGATACAAGCCAGGATGCCATTTGTTTCTTTTTATTAAGTACTAATTCTTCTCAAAGTGGAGAAGTTTTCTTGTTTAACCATACTTGCTACCTTTTTCACAAAATTCCCATTATTCTCTCAGAGCAAATGAATAGTAATGAACAGTATACCTCAGAGAGCATACAGTGAAATCCTTTGGGAAAGGAAGTCTAGTGACAGAAGGAGCAGAAAACGACAGATTCAGGGAGAATATCACTTTAGTCAAAGTGTTTCATGATGAAAACATCCATCCAATATTGCTGGGTTGGATTAGTGAGCCAAGAGAAGCAGCTTGGGTGACAAAAAAATTAAACCTGATAGGACATTCTGACTAGATGATAAGTTGGAAAAATAAAGACAAGAGTGAAGAAGTAAATTTTAAATTCTTCTATACAGAGGTGAAGAATATGCAAAGATATGTAGTGTCAGACAATGCTATAGGGTACAACACAAATAATCTAAAAGTGTAAAAATAAAACAAAATATCAGTGGATGAAGAGCTAGTCAAAAAATGCTGAAAGTAAAAATTTGGATGGGAAGTCCTTTTTGCCATCATTTTCCCATCGGTAGCATTCTAGGATTGGATCCCATAGATCCAGGCTTCCTCCCACCCAGAATCTTTGGGATCAAATACAGTCCATAACAATTCAAGCCTCCTTGATTTAAAAAATAAATGCCACCAGTATTTTTCACTAACGCTGCTTCCCGAGTCCCTCCTATGAATCAGCTGTTCACGTTCCTTTACCAGAAAGCACTGGCAGGATTTAAAACAACCTGAATTATCTCTCAACGGTGCATTTATGTTTTAAAGAAGGCTGAAGACAAGCCTTGGCCCAATTTCTACTGCACCCATGAAATGGCTGAGGAATGCATTTCCAGAGCCAAGTGTCCCTTCTGCAGATTAAGTCCAGTTTTCAGTAAAATAGAGTAAAGAGGTAAAAAGCGCATTCAGAAGGCAGGTATGTAAATCTCAACAGCATTTAGGTCTCTGGAGATAAAAAACTGCGCCAAAAAAAAAGTATGCATTTCCATTAAATGTTTTCTAAGCATTTTGCTCCAACTTAGGGATTTGTGTGTAGATTTAGTCAGCCATTCTTGAAACTGTCAAGATACTTAACTATGCAAAAATTAAAGGCTTTATCTCATCTTTAATTCTGTCTGTAATTTTACATTATTTTTTCTTTCCTTTCTTTCTAACTTCTGGCTTAAAACTGGGGCACTGTTTTAGAATTCAATCACACCATGCAAGTGTCATTTTAATGGAGACGAAAGAGCAATATTAACTGACATCCAAAGCTTCTGACAAACAGAACTGCATGGGAGTGAGCAATGATTGAGATCTTAATCACTTGTCGGCTGTCGCGTTGTGATGACTTGCATTTTCAACTAATCTGGCTTGAGTAATGAGGGAAATTTCTAGCTGAGTGGTGATTGGCATTCTCTGAATGAATCCTTTCCTCATATTTCATTTTCATGGGTGACTGATCACATCCAGTGTATGAAAAACTGACATATGTTAATTGAACAGATTTGTGACAGGTGATTAGCTCTGCTCTCCTCTCCTAAAGAGTCCTAGAGCTGGTTAATTGTTTAAAAATTATAAAACTTTTTTTTTGTCTTTGTCATCACCGTTGGCCCTCGACTCTACAATTTGAACTTTAGGAAATGGCTTCAAAGGTGCAAACTAAAGCTATGTGAACCCTACAGTCTTTGATTCCTGACAGTTTCTCTTTGTTTCACTGCCTTTTGGGGAGGAAGAAAAGAAAGAGGTGAAGGCCAAAACAACAGCCCAGTTGGGAAGAAGAGAGTATCTTTGAGGACAAAGACCTCTTCCTTCTTTGAGTATTCTTTTAAGGCATTCTTTGAAATTTTCCAAACTACACACTGAAAGATGAAGGACATCAGATCTTTTAGGGGGAAAAAAAAAAAAAAAAAAAGACAAAAAAAATCAAGGAATTCATGGGAAAACTCTACCAGGTGCTTGGCAATCAGCTTAGCCACATGTGCTGAAAGCTGGACTCTTCAGTCTACTGTACAAGAGCCATCCCGTTATGGTACTGAGAGCCAAAACCACAGGGAACACCAGTTCTCACGGGAACTTGCTTCCCTGTCCCAGAGCAGAGCATAGCAGACCTCGACATCCCAAGAAACCATGCTCTAGCCTAGGATCTCAGGGTTCTGGGCTATGGACACCAAAACCAGAACTCCTATAGCTGCTTATTCCTGTAGGGCTAGGAGCCTGGGGGCCTTGGAGGTAACCTGCAAGGACAGGAACCTCCAGAAGCCCAGCTCGAGCTGGGACTGCAACAGCTGCAGGACAAAAACAGCTCCCAGAGGGATGGCTGGCACGAGACTTGGAGCTTTGAAGCCTGAGCCAAAGACAGACCGAGCAGTGGAGGCTGCAGGAGAGCAACAGGACATGGGGTCCTCCCTAACTTAAAGAGAGTGTCAGCACCACAGAGGGCTCCCAGGAGCATATTACATGGCAGGGGCATCACATGTTAGAGTTGCTGGGAACAGAATTTTTAGGAATTTTTAGTTTTCTGGGAATTGGAAAGTTTAGATATTACCTACAAAACAGAATTCATAAGTTTTGGGCAGCTCTGCTCCCTCTTCTGTGCCAGGAAGCCCACTTCTACTTTAGGCTGGGGGACAAATAATACTTTACCTACAGTTTTTCCTGGGAGAAAATGAACAGAAGCTGCCAATCAGATGCTTGCCAGTAGGAACAGCCAACAAAGGACTTTTGGCTACTCAGATAATCCTCATTCCTCTGTGCTAACTGCTGCCTGTCCAACCTTCCCGCTTTGCCCTTAGCTTCATGCCAGACCTATTTTCTCTTCTGCTTTGCCTCCTCCACTTCTCTCACACAAAAGCCTTTTTTTCAAGATCGTTTTCCATTTAGCTTATCCTTTCCTATTTCTTGGCTGATTTTTTTTTAAGGTATTAGCATAACAATAAATATGTTCCTCTTTGTCTCAGTATTAGCAGTTCCACAAGATCATATGAGGGCTACACCCAGGCACAGCTGGCTACTGCAGCACCTCCTACTCAGCTAGACTGCAGCTTCTTCCCAGACAGAAAAAGTACATTAAAAAGTTCCTATTTAGTTGTTGTCAGATCAACAGCGAGAAGCAACAGCTGCAAGGACAAGTTTGGTGCAATTTTAAGGAATTTATGACACTGGGGTTGAATAGTTCCTTTTGTTGTGAATTGATGATAGCGATAGCTAGTAAATATTCTGGGGAAATTCCCATGTTCTGAAGAACACAGGCTTTAGGGAATTTGATAAATTTGCGCAATTACTCTGTCAGTTCCCTTGCTAAATAGTTGCCCTTTCACTGATGAAGAACTCAAATTCAAACTTCAGTGATCAACTTTGATGTGTCTAAGCCAAGGGGCAAAAGAGCAAAAAAGCAAATAGACATCCTTATCCTTAACAATCCTTCAATGTGGTACACACAAGCTCCACTAGGAAACATATGGCAGAAAGAATACAGTGATGACAGCTAATGGCAAATCACTAAATAATTCATGCAATAGCATATAGATAATGCGAAGGAAGAACAGAGGATTAATTAATTACATCATAAGGCCTGCAGTGAGAGATTCTTTCTTTTATCAGAGACACACATTTGCAGAACTACAGGCAGGTTTTTGAGACTGCATGCTGGACAAATTTTGCTTCGCTTATATCCAGAGACTGAAGTAGTCAATAAATTTTAGACTACAGAAAATGAGAAATGGTTTAATCTTGTAGTAATGTACCTGTTAAAAACTCACCTAATTCAAGATCTCTTATCCCCATGTATGTTTCAAGAAGCTCATCCACCTTTTTAATTGCTTTTTCTTCAACTTCAGTTGGCTTTGTTGAAATAAAGGGAGAAAAAGAACACAAGTATGATTATATCCATGCAGATTTCAAAATAACCAGCAACTCGCCACTGATTATCCTTACTCCCATCCTAGCCACCTAGACTTACAAAACCTACCAGTACAACATGTTATTCCACTCTTTTCCTCTTCTCACAAACCTGAGCCTTCCTCCTAACATCAAGCCACACGGCTCTCACATTCAAACTGAACAGGGGCCTTTACATCTCCTGACAATACAGATCTTCATCAAATCCTCATCAGCTTTAGAGGAACCCAGAATAAATAACATTTCTTCTTCCAAACCCTAATCCTGGTTTTACACATACGTTATTAGCCTCTCCTGACAACAGCCCTTACACCAGCCCAGTACGCTTTGCAACGTCAGAAACAGAACCAACTCTTCAACCGTGTCCCCCTCCTTTTTTCCCTCCTTCCCTCTTTTCAACACTCCTTGGTCTAATGTACCTTAAATTCACACGTGTAATCTGTGACATCTAAATACAGGCTCCCTGTTTCCAGATTCCTCAGACCCATCCTATCCCTGCCAGACTTCAACTTCATATATGCATTTCCCCCTGCAGAAGGCAGTTGTCTTCTCAAGTCCCACAAGCTTTGTAACATCCAGATTTTTCCTTCCTACTTTACCTTATCAACCTTGGGGAAGAATAAATCAGGTGCTAGATAATTAAACTAGTGAAGGGCCCGAAAATAACCATACCATTTCCTCCACGGTAGCAGGGCCTTTGGTTCTCAACCGAAGTGTTTCTCTCCCTCTGGAGATTTTAGCCTCTGGCAGAGTTCCACCTTTGGACCTTGGCTCCAGCTTTTCTGAAGACAAAACAAAAAACAATAACAAAAAGAAAAGAATACCAAACAAAACTAAGTATATGGTACATCAGAATATGATTTATCTGCTTTGGCTATTACATTACCTTCACTTTTTATACTAATCAAGACCTAGATGTATGTAAAAAATTAATTATAAATTAACCATATTCTAAGTATAGCTTTGCTGACAATTTCTTGTCTTCAAACTTTGATATCCGCTTGACTGCACTGAAGCTAGGACTTCCATTAACCAACATATCCATGCAGGCCTATTGCACTCAACCTCATATATGCTCTTTGTATAATTTTATTTCCCTATTCTACAGAAAAGTAGGAGTATTTACTACTTAATATCAGACAACAGCTGAAGTCATCAGCCAAATGTTGATTTATCCTGGTCTTTACAGGCAGATGATGTAGCAGGTTTAGCACTGCAACATTTCCATCTTTGACTGATGCAATGGTGCAAACACCACTGCTAAACAGGTCGTGATGAACCACATGAAGCTGAGCTAACAATTTGATTACTAGCAGTCACACAGGTAAAATGTCCGTAAGCAGAGCTGCAGGAGTTTTTATGCTGGTTTCACCAAGGTCATGATTTCACACCTAGTAAGTCTCTACACCAAGAATATCTGGATTTACCCAACGTTTTCTTTACCTGCATTCAGCTTTCCTTCTTTAATCTTAGCTAACACCACCCCAGTTAGTAAATGGAGTATGGAATCATTTAAGATTTGACTTTCCTCTTCCAGGACATTATTTTACATTCAAGAGTGGCGAAGCTTTAATTTACTTACTGACACGGGTCTTACACAGTTAATCTGGAAAGTGCTAGAAGAGAGGAAATAATTTTGCAGAACTGTTTTTAACTGTGCTGTTTTCTCCACCAGATTATTCCTCCTCTTAACAGCAGGCCTTTCTAATAAGCTCTCCTGGAAGGCAAAGCTTTAACATGCTATATTAACTTTGCCCAGATAGATTCTAACTCATCATTCTTGCATAAGTAGTCAAAAATCCAGATTATTCTGCTGACTAGCTCTTGAAAAGTGAATTTTGTTTTTATTTTAGCAAACAGATATGGCACAGTGTCTTACAAACATGTTTAGGATCAATCCTTTTCCTTAATCCATTTATTGCTTCAAGAACAGTTTAAAACATCCTTAAGACTGTCATAATTTCTGCTAGACTTGTTTCAAAAAGTCATTCCTGATACAGCATACATCTTTTTCTAGTTCTGTCACCACTAGCACCTTAAAACCCATGATTTGACATAACCTTTATTTTCAATACTTCAGACCAAAGCTCTCTGGCCGTCACAGAAACTATTTTTCATGTTCAAGTGATTTGAATTTAGAGTTTGTGTTTTGCTGATTTGAATTTAGAGTTTGTGTTTTGCTGATTTGAATTTAGAGTTTGTGTTTTGCTGATTTGAATTTAGAGTTTGTGTTTTGCTGATTTGAATTTAGAGTTTGTGTTTTGCTGCCTTTACTTTGTTTCTAGTAATTTTTCACCAATTCACGGAGGGCTAGCTTGTGACAGGTAGGGACCAATGTTATTCAGACAAGTCTCTAATTCTGTGCAACAAGCCTTGCTTAGAGTAGTTGAGGCACATGGTAGAAAGATATCCAACCAGTAAATTATACTTATTTCACATTCTGCTGAGAGGAAGAAAAATAAAAGTTAGTAACTTCATGCAGAGACTTGTCTCTTATTGCTATACCCTCACAAACCTGTGCTGAAACTAGCAGGAATTCAGCACCTACTTGTCCAGCAGGATCTGGATCTTGTTTGTCATCTCCTCTGGGGCTATTCTTGGCATGCTGCAGCTTAAACACCATCTTGAATAATTCTGTGCCTAAAGCCTAACTGCGCACCTAAGGCTAGAGGCAGAATATTCTAACCTATTGGGCACTGCAACATGTAAATTAATTTCTGTAGGGTAAAAAAAATAACAGTCATCCTCCAAAAATCTGTCCAAAAAGCTCTGATTGCGTCTTAATTCAATGTCAGGTAAAAGATAGTGCCATGGAATTACCAGGTTTCCTTCTCTACATCACAGGCAGGTTAAAAGCTATCTTAATCAGCTGACTTAAGTAATTACTATTAAAGAATGGCTGAAGTCATCAATCAAATGCTGATTTACCCTGGTCTTTACAAATAGACTATGTAACACATTTAGCATTGAATACAAATTATAGACCATATTAAAACCAGATTCCTACATTACTAATTGCAATACTATACCTATGTAATACTCCCTTAGTGTCATGTAGAACATACACATTTACTTAACAGGAGCATCAACTTATATCCAAACACATTAGAGATTAACTCATAATCCTCATTCTTCACAGCAGCACTAAAAGCAAGAAGAAATCTCCACATTTCTCTCATTTTCAATTTCTGCTGCTCTTCTGACACCAAGTGTCAAGACTGGTGTATGACAGCAGCTGTAAGCTACTAACTGATAAAAAAGGATTTGAAAAATAAACATTTTGAACTTTTGCTGCTGTGGTGAAGATGGTGATTTTTAACTTGCTGTTAGTGCAGATGTGCACAAGGACTCACACACACTTATAATTTAGCAGTATTTTGAAGTTTTTGTTACAGAAAAATGCCATGTCGGTTGGGGGCAGGGGGAGGGGGGGTGGTGTTTCTAAAAAATTGAGAGAATAAAAATTAAAACTCAGTCTCTATCTTGACTCCCTGAGCTAAACCTACTTTTTTTTTTTCCCTTAGTTTACCACATTGATAAAATTCATATACGTAAGGATTAGCAGTAAGAATGCATTCCTCCTATGCAAGTATCACTTTCTCACAGCATGCAGGTAGAGATAGAGCTTTACCATGCTGCTTTTTTCCACTTCTGAGTATACCTGCTGTATGGTTAGAGATCCACACAAAAGCTGGGGAGAGCAGGCAGGCATGCAAGCAAAGGAGGTGCTCTAGGAAATCCCAGACACTGCTTTCTGCAGCATCCTTCTGCATTAGAGAGTGCAGTCCCCAGGAAAGGGTACAGAAACAGAAAAATCTGACACACAGATGAACACGGGATTATGTGTAGAGGAATAGAGGAAAAGAGACAAGGAGGTTCAAGGATCAGCGCATTAGCAAAGCGATCCATGCTTTAAAGCGGTGTCTATGAAACAATTCCTGTACTTATTTTGCATCACCACGCGGTGGCAAAGGAACGGAGCAACGGAGACTCAGATGGAGGCAGCCCACACCAGGGTGTGGCTGGTGGAGAAGGCAAGAAGGAAGAAAATCCATTTGCAAATTTCCCACTTCAAAGAAAAAACAAACAAACAAACAAATGTACTTTGTTGTAGCAGTTATGTTACCTTGGGTGGACACCTGGCTGCAATCTCAAAACAAACTTACAACGCAATTCAGTCTTGGGATTTCAATATCCAGCGAACAAGTTGGACAGTCGGGTCACTCACCGAATGCTTTCATAGGCTCTATCAACTCCAGCTTAAACATCTGACCCTTCTCCAGGTCTTTTAGCATTCTGGCAACTTCATAATGCCGACAATGTGACACATTTTTTCCATTTATAGTCTCTATGTGATCACCCACGCAGACAATTTTGGTTTGGTCCATAAGGCTACCTTCTTTGATTCGCTATTGTTTAAAGAAAAAAATAGAATTAGAAACATTTTTTTAAGAGGTAAAGAGGTGACACCACAGAGTTTCAAGAACATGAGCTAACAACATCAGTAGCATTGAGCTTATTATACCAGCAGTGTGTTTTGTCTATAAGATTTTCGTAAAACATATTTTGGAAAGCATTATTTTTTCAAACAAAGTATTTTAATAAGGATCGAATATAAAATCAACAGAAAAAAATGCAATCATAGCTTAGAAATTAAGGCTTCTGAATATGCTAATATTTTTGTGCTTTAAAAACTGAACCCAAACGTGTCAGTAATGTGGATGTTTAATATACTTTTTGGGTTTTAATTTGATTTAATAGCTTGACAAGCCTAAGAACACAACTTTTCTCTTCTCAAATATGGTCCAGGGACATAAAAAAATTCATGTGATATACTAAAAAATTACTGTAAGGTGCTAGTCTTAAGAAGACCCATCTATAGTGATAAAACTTCTACCATTTTCCTTATCAAGCTATACAGCTGCATATTAAAGTATTTCCTCTGAAATAACAATAAAGAATAAGAAATTCTTCTAAATGCCATTTCATGGAATACAAATACAAATGGTCTAAAGGTCATAAAAATGTAACAGAAGTTCGCATTTCTAGTTTTTGTGATGTGGAATTTTAAAAGTGAGGAAAAAAACCTCCCAATCTTTAAGAGATCTCTGTGATATATCAGTTAAAGGACACTTAAAACTTCAGCGATTCTGTTTATTGTTGTTATATGCTGTCATATTTGTTTACCATGTGCCTAAGTCACATAAGCCATTTTCCTATGGCTATTTAATAGAAAAGCTATAACATAGTAGAATATCTTCTATTTTAAAGAGGTATGAATTTCATTTTAGTAACTTCCTGAATAACATACTTTTAAATTAAGACTGATGTTGTTCAGGCTAACTTTGAGTGAGATAACATTAAGGCAACAGAGATAAACATATTGCCACCTACTACTGCAACACCTAGCCTAGCTGCATAACTATCTCAGAAACCTGCTTCTAGTTCATGTGCGCACGCCTGAGCCCACGTATGTGCCTCCACTTGAGAGAGGCAGTGGGAAGTGTGATAGTGCTCACTGTCCTATAATACACTGCAACAGTTTTTGGCTTCAGGCTGACTTTAACTCTTTCTAGCACTTTTTTCTTTAACCTCGATTAAAACCAAAAGAAGCCTCGTGGCAAATGAAGAGGGGGGTATCATACACACGCCAGAAGCCAGGTCCCAAACGTACTTGTGTTACCAGGTGCCAGGATTCAAAAGCGTGCCGCCCAGACTTCAACTCATGTTTCATCTATGTGTTGAATTCATAGAATCACAGAATGTTTTGGGTTGGAAGGGACCTTTAGAGGCCATCTAGTCCAACCCCCTGCAGGGAGCAGGGACACTGCTAACTGGATCAGGTTGCTCAGAGCCCCGTCCAACCTGGCCTTGAACGTTTCCGGGGATGGGGCCTCCACCACCTCTCTGGGCAACCCCTGCCAGTGTTTCACCACCCTCACCGTAAAGAATTTATTCCTTAAATCCAGTCTAACCCTACCCTGTTTTCATTCTCATTTAGCTTTTCTTCTTCACCAATTACTACAGCCCATAACAGCTTTCAACAACCCACAGACAGGTAAATTTCATGTTAATCGCAAATTAATAATGGAACATAATAACAATGTTTCAAGGAAAGTAAATATATAAACAAAAAAAATTCTGTCCAACTTCATAGTAGAGACGGTCTCTGCTTAGTCATTTACCTAGACAAGCAGGTATAAAACTCATGCAGCTTTTACTTTTGTATGTGTATTTTCTATGCTGTTTTATTCACTATACTGCTTATTAGACCAGTTCAAGGACAAGGATATTTTCGTTCAGGCAAGTTTTATACAATTTAGGGGAAATTACAGCTTGTCTTGCTTGTACAGTGAGGCTTTTCCAGCCTGCTCCAGTGATGCAGCAGTCCAGGCTGTTCTCTCTCTCCCCACCTTACCAACCAAGCACAGGGAGAGGAACGCTCCGTACAGAGCTGCACGCCTGAACTTTAATCGCTGAAGCACCGCTTGCCATGCCTCCTTTTAAAATACCACATAAGCAGCAGCGTGACTGAATGTTACGGGCTGCACAGATGCTGCCACTAGCAATTCAGACTTTTGTGTCTATAAACACAAAAATGAGGCTATGATTTTGCCAAACTGCTTACTGAAACCTCCACTGCATCTTGAGTTTCTCAAGCATGATCTCAATCACATTTTTCCACAGCGAAGACAAGCAAACCTATTTCTAAGGCACATCTTGTTTCATAGCCATGGTAGCTAAGGAATGAATACAGAATACAACCTCTCCATGCAAGAAGTTCTGTAGCAGTAAGTAGTAAGACCAGTGATGGGGACAGCAGTCATCAAAGATAATTGCCAATGCCTCACTAATAATGGATAATTGGATTAAATTAGAGCAAAGCATCTAAAAAAGGCAGAAAATGTGATTAAGGTTCCTAATGCCTAGTCTAGCGAGGAGGGCAGCATCATTTCCTCAGCCTCTACTTGTCTCAAAACATCTGGAGGTCATATGGAAGTGGAGGAGGAAAGCAATTATGATTAATATATTGGACATGTTACTGCCCATAGTCACTACTCAAGTTAATTGTGGTAAATTGTGTTAATCCATATCCTTAGCACATTTTAATTCATCCTACCCATCTAAAGCAACAACATGGGAAAGCTGAAAAAGCACAGTACTTGCACGTATTTTTACACAGCACAAAGGCTTCTGCCCTGCAAACAGTCATAAAGACGGAAAGAACATGATCTCATTAACACACGAGTGACAGACGGTCTATAAGCACCTAACCAAAGGCATCAGAAAATCACTTAAAGAAAAAAAAAAAAAGAGGGGGCAGATGCAAGCAGTATCTAACACCTACCACCTCAGGGAAGGCTGGGAGATACAATGGTCACATTGTAAAGCTGCTACACGTGACAGAAGCAAGGAACAAATGAACTAATTTTGAATGACATGCAGTACAGAAATAGCCGAACTAATTTTGAATGATGTACATAAAGAAAAGCAACTTTATTTTTTACTTACCATATATATGATAATAAAAGATTTTATAGTTCTAAAGGATCACTAAAACAATAATTAAACTGTTATAGTAACAGAAGCTTCCACAGAACAAAGTCTTTCACTGGTAATCAAATTTACCTTTATAAATGCACAGCCAGTTCCATTGTCGGTAATGGTAAGCCCAAGCACATCATCGGTTTTAAGAATTTCCACTTCTTTTCGCTGTCCTTTTATGTGGGCAAATATGAAATCTTCAAGGCCAATTTGTGCACCTAAGAGCTTGTCCATATCAGCTTTATGAGTGTTCAAAGTGCAAAACATGATCTGTGCAGGAGGACAGCAAACACGTTAAGTTTAATAGCACATTAGGTTTGCTGAGCTTAATAGGAAGATAAAAGGAGATCACAGTTCTGGCCTCTTTGACAGATCCATAGCTGAAATGACGATAACTCTCCTCCTCCAGCTGCCCCCGGAGAGGTGACAGCCTCCATCCACGGCACACGACAGAAGTGTCAATAGCTCAAACTCTGCACCCAAGAGCCAGCAGGGAGCAAAGGAGGGAGACGTATCTGTGGAAGCCGCCTCTCACCGCCTGTCCCAGCACACCAACCCCGACACTGGCGTCCTGAGCTAGAGCAGAACAGCTCGTTCCAGAGGTTAGAGTAAGCAAACCAAAGAGCCACCACCGTCTTTTGCTTCATCGTTCACCCACCCAAAATTCCACAGGACTCAAACATCACTAGGGACACTGCTTCAAAGTGTAACTGCTTGAAAGCAGTTTCATGGAAAGAAGGGAAGCTCATCAAAACAAAAATGTCAGGAGAGAGCATGAAACGTTTTATATTGCTCCACGTGTCCCACCGCTAGCTCAGAGCACCTTCTGTCCAACAAGTTGCTTAGTTTCCACATGCAATGGAAGCAGGGGAAGAGGAGGAGACTTGCCACCCCGTCTGGCCCTCCAGCACAGGTGGCAAAGCCACAGCTGTAAACTGTCAAAGGCTCTGCTGCCAGCAGGACACGCACGGCTCTGACAGGACAAGAAATAAAAGTAGATACTTTTCTACCCCCTGCCTATATCTGCCAGACATTATTTTCCTTGCGAGTGCACCTTGGACCCCCTTGCAGCCACTGCCCACACCAGCTCCAAATTAGGAAATGGAAAAAAGCAGCGCTAAGACATGAAAAGAAGTACACAGTGGGAAGCCAGCCTAGCACTGGAGAAAAAACAGCAGCAGGATGTCGCTCCGTGTCCTTCATCTTTGCAACTGCTCTAGCGGCAATCCCTGGGGAGCAGCGGGCCAGCCCAGCTGCCCCCAAACCCAGGCACAGGCCTGCCCAACTATCCCCTGCTTCACTGGGAATACAGGGTCTCCTCCCGCCTTCCCGGCTTCCCTCACTATGCTTGTAAAAGTTACAGAGGGTTTACACACCAGAATACTTCAAATGCCTTTTCTTTCTTCCTGGCATCACTGGATGACAGCAGAAAAATTGAAATGAAAGTCACCCACCGATTCAAATCTATTCCAGGTCGAGTGAGGGGTGAATAGTTTTCCTGATGTATTTCACAGAGAGCATTTAAGTTTCTGAAGCTTTCTAGAACTTAAGATTCTAGAACTATGGGGGTTTTGGTTTTAAAAATGGAAAGTTTAGTCGCAAGATGGTAGTTCTTGATGAGGGGGGTCTTGTTTAGTTGTTGTTTTTTTTAAAAACAAAACACCAAACCAGCCCTACTTCAAAGGCTAATTGCTCATCTCATATAATCCATCAAACACCCACTGCAATCTAACGCCTTACTGTAACGACGAGAGCCATAACAGCACGCCCTTAACAGGCAGCAGCTTCGTTCTCTCAGGTAATGCAAAGTCTTTCAGTTAACCAATACTCAAGCAGTAACATCACCTGGAGAGATTAATCTGGTTTTAAGTAAACAATTAAATTTTATTTTATAAATAATAATCTCTAATCATCAGCATTTTTTTTTAAAAACCAAGAAGGTTCAATTCAAACAGACTATATGTAAGTTCAGGTATACATTTTCAGCTCACTCCCAAGCTACGCAATAACTTGGCCAGCTTACGACCGCAACTCAGTTCTTGTTCTTACCATCAAACAAGCGCTGCGTCTTTACATTTTAGACATCAGCATCCTTCATCTGACCTTGTCAAACAGACAATCATCTAGTGACTACTGTCACACCTTTGAATAGATAAAATTGGCAACAGAGCAGAAATGTGATATTTAGAAACTCGATCCAGAGTTTCTCTTTTTAGACCTTCATGGGGATGGCATTCCTACTACAGCCTATAAGTCTGCTGAATTTTCTGTGAGTCAGTTCAGTGCTCACCACAAGGCTGAGAGAGCATCAGCCAGTCAAAAATAAAACTTAAATCATTCTTTATCCTCTTTAGTGAACAACTGCTTTTTCTCAGAACAGATACATGCAGAGAGTAATGTACTAAAGATGTATCTACCCAGGATAATATACAGTTACACCATCTATCCAGTCACAGGGCAGCTTTATTTATACATGACTGAGACACGACAATTCAAAAATGATATTTTTTTTGTAGATGTTACATGTTTTATATAGGTACCTAATAACAGCTTATATACTTAAATAAAAAAAATTAAACAACAGCTGCTATATTACACCTTCCACTCACTCAGAGTTTGGTATATTTTTGATAGTAATTTTCCTACCCAGAAAAGAAGCAAGAAAAAACCTGAATGTGCAATTTTGATTGTTAAGCCTTTTCTCTCTCTTCTCACCCTCAACCTTCCTATGCATTTGCTCTTTAACTCAGCACACCAGCACTGTGACATTTCATGCCAACTTTAGCAAGACGTTACAAATCACAACTGTTACATCAGTCACGAAGTATCCAGGATACCTCCTTCCCCGAGAGTTATCTTGCGCGGCACACAGAACAAGGAGATTCCATTCGGCTGGCAGGGACTGGGGGCTTATGCACAACCTCATAAAATAGATTTGTCAGATACGATTACTGACAGATTATTCCCTGAATCAGTATTTTCAACAGGAAGAGACGACATTAGCCAATAAAAAGAGGGTTACACTGTGTGTTATATAAAGAAACTGTATTAGCTAAGACAGAGGGTTACGCTATGTATTATATAAAGTATATATGCAGTACCATAATGCATAGCCTATATATTAATTACATTCTCATCTTCCATATTAAGCCTACACCTTGAGAAGAACTCAGAAATAAATTGACTGATAGATGACGCACTCAGAAGCTATTAAAAGTGCTTTTAAAATCAGTAGATCTCAGATAACTTTAGAAACAAGATCATAATCACTTTCTCTATTTAAGAGGTTGGGAAATGGGAAATCGACTGCCGAGCAAGATGCAACACCCACTGACATTTCCCTATATATGCAGGCATCATTATAATCAAGAAATCAATGCATTTTTGAGGTACCTTACTCACTTTATCCTCCCCCCAAGGAAAATGTGGGAGCCTTGACCAGCTGCAGCAACGGGAAGAGCAACCACCTCCTCCGAGCTCTAGGGTGCTGTTGGTATTCTATCAAGTATACAACTTTGCCTCCCCAAATACATTCAAAGTACTATAAAATAAGCATTCAGCGGTTTATTGTTCCTTTTTCTAAACCCAGAGTGCACAAGAATTACCGTGTAAGTTCCTCCATACAGCTTAAAAGTATTTGGAAAACAGATCATTAACACGGCAAGCATCACACCTAATACAGGTGTGAAATCTAAGCACTGCTTAGGGGAACAGCAAGCAAACAACTGTTGCCATAGGGCTGGGAGGAGGTGGTTTGTAGGGAGTGTTAAGTTTGTTCATTTAAAGTCTTTAATCTGTAGGCAAGACTGTGAACAATTTGCTTCAACAGATAAGCATATACTCTAAAAGTTTCGACAGCTTGGTGATGAGGATGAGGATTTCATAAACCACCCTTTTCTCTACCCTCCCAAAATACACTTCGATTTTTGTCTTGTAATGAGGTCCTTTGTATTTTGAACCCTAAGTTTCAGCACAGTGGGTTATTTTTCAGTACTCTTTCATAAAAGTTTAAATCAAACACTTCTATGGAAGTTTGGTGTGGCACAGCCTCACAGTGCACTTCACTGTTTAGCAGGAGGCGGCAAGGCCCGTGGAACACCAGCCCAGACAGAAGCTCAGCACCTGAATTCTTGTTACTGGAAGAGGCAGAGGGAGCTGCGTTTCTCCCTTTTCCTGCATTCCCCTTATGAAGCAGAATTCCTTCCACCGGGAAAAAAACCCAACCTCCACGGGCCCTTGACAGGCACACCCACTGAGCATTCAACTTACCTCACCAGCCCCACCATGCTTCACCTTCCAAAGCAAACAAAATAATCAAAAGTGCAAATTATGAGTACGCAAACCAACAGTCCATGTAGCTTTTGTGGTTTACCATTCCCTTCTCATCTGATTAAGAAATGGCCCTGCTACGGTTGGGCTTTAATATCCACGTTCCCAGTGCCCGATTAGCTACTTTGAATACTTTTAAAGCCCTACCATGTGCTCTCACAGGAGCGCACCACCACCAAATGCTTTAACAGACCCACATTGTCCTTTGGTCAGTGCTCATTTATTTAGCATAAAGGCTGCACTTAGCACTTTCACCCTTACAGGGAACATAACATTTCCTGCCACATTTTCTGACAGTCACAGCGGATGAGTAATCCTAAATGGCCAAAACCGTACACAAATACTTTTTCCAACTACTTTTCCTACTTCATCCTCTGAAGAAAGAATGGGGGAGGCATTTGTGTTATTTATGCAAGTGGAAACATACACCTAACTGTGGATGGGTTGTCGTGTTAGTTAAGAATTGCATCTATTTATATTTTTTTTTTAGCTCTGTTCTTCCTTGTTGAAACCCTGTTGAAGAAATCAAGTTAAGAGTCAAGAACGATGTCATCTACCTCCAACAGCACTCATGTTGATACAGGCAAATCCATTGCTAGAAGCCACCTTCACTCCTCCTCCCCTGTGGGTCCCCAGTTTGGACCAGGAAAAGAAGAAATGCTAGTCATGGTAGAAGTCAGAGAGGGAGGCAGAACACATGCTGAACGCTAGGTTCAAAAGGGATAACGGAGATATATATTCACCTAGGAAGATGAAGGAAGAACAAAACACCTAGACAAGAAAAGAGAAGCACAGCTCAGAAAGCTGCTCTTACGGCTCGCTCTTCGTAGATGCCTAGCAAACATCACAGGAGTGAAGGAGCACCCCCTTTGAAGTTCTACCTGTCTTGTTCTGTCCCCATCCCACCCTACTCATGATGCAGGTCTGCACAGAAGTTTTTGTCGGCATTTGTCCAACAAACACTGTGTTTTATACAAGCTTTGCTCTGCCACTGTTGGCAGTCAATCACGGATCCTGGAAAGGATTCTCCAGCAGAAGCTAAACTCAGCTGGTCCTGCGAGATGCGATACAAAAAGGAAACGAGGTGCTGTAACCATGTGCAATTGAAAGGAGAAGCGACAGTGTACAAGTATTGCTCATCCTGAACCGTACTAAAACAACAGAGTAGGAACTTATCCAGGAACCCATACCCTTGCCTGCGCTGCAGTAAACTCACATGAAGTAAATGTATTCACTTTGGCAACAGTTAGCCAAGCGTTCTCCACGCTGAGCTCCTCCTCACCCCCCCACGCTATTTTCCACCACTGTCACTGCAGGGCTGCGGTCTCTGTGACGGTACCTGTTTCCGAAGGCATTCGGGTATCACGCTGCCCACGGGCTTCGGCATAGCGGGGTCACAGAAACCTTCCTAGACAGGTAACACCTACCGATGGCATTTGAGCACCTCAGTGTCTTCCAGTTTGCTGAGGTGTAGCTTCTGGCATTATTCTTTACACCAGACTGCCAGTCCAAAAGCAGCTTTAGTTAATAGGTAATACCATTTACAACGTCTAGGCTTTCCTTACTGCCAGCAAGCTCTGCAGTTTCTAATAAATTCATGTTTCACGGCACCCTTGCTATTCACTCATCTATCCTATTTTATCTTCCCATCCAAAATTTCATTTGCAGGACTCTCGGGTTCAAGTTCACTCTGCTGTGCCGCCTTTACAACGAGGAAATATTTTTGATCACTATTTTAAATTTGTACAGCTTAGTTTCTTAAAGCCAACTCAATTTCTTGAGTAAAAGGTTTTAAGTTCAGTGCCTCCAGCAACAATTCTCCACCCATTTTTACCAATAAACCACATTAAAAAAAAACCAAACAACAACACAACACAAATAGGAATGGGACAGTAGAGAAAAAAAAGCCATTTTTACCAATAAACCACATTAAAAAAAAAACCAAACAACAACACAACAAAACAAATAGGAATGGGACAGTAGAGAAAAAAAGAGAAGAATGAAACTTCTCTAGTTTAGCACAAGGCTGGCACTAGATGCCCATGAAACATGCGGTGCTTCCTCTAAAGCCTTTGGGGGTGTCAGATTATACATCTAGCGGGAGAAATGGGAGCGCACCATTCATACAAAATTGAATTTCCTGGTGAACGCTGTACTTTCTCAAGCCGGTGGAGCCAAAAGTTCAGTAACAGAAGTTCAACAGTGAAAGGAAGAAAACTAAAATAGAAGATAATCTGGCAATTACAAGAACTTGAGAGCAAAAGGTATAACTGGAGATGGAACAGAACAAAAGGGGAACAGCAGCTCGGTACGGAAAGAAAACAGAGAAGCGGAAGGTCAGAAAGCAGCTGGGAAGGTCTGGGACATGGGTGCATTGGCTGGCAAGGGTACCAGTCCTTCTTAATTACCTAATGCAACAGGGACTGGTTAAACTGTATTCACTGCTGCTGCCGCTTCTCTTTCACAATTTACTGTTTGAAACGCTTCTACAGCCACAGCAGACCTGCCGAATGAAGTCTGTAGTAGCGGTCTTTACTACTTTAGAAGAGCCAGCTACAAATAAGCAAACAAGTAAAGCTGTACAGCCACACGCAGGCATCATGAAATGTTAGCAGCACTTTGTTTCAATTTGCCACTCAGAGGTTAAGGTTCACAGAACCACGTAGGAAGAACTTGATACGGCCACTACCTTTTAACTAAGAGAAAACAATGCATTTACAAACACAAATGAATCATTATCCAAACAAATGTTTAAAGCCTGGCACAGAAAAAAAGATCAAAAAGGCAGCAGAGTTAAAAAAAAAAAAAATTAAAAAAAAAATCCCGTTACAGATTTAAACAGCCCCACTTAAACAGTGGGCCTTTTAAAAGTAATTACCTGGCAAAGCAGAAAACTTTCCAAACATCACATTTACTTGGAATTTTAAAAAAATTTTAAAATGTAGTCAGATTTAACGCATTTATACCCCTCCCTTGCCTCCGTTCTGGGTATTTAGCCTCATGGATCAACTGATTTTGGGGGGGGGTTTTTTTTTTGGGATTTTTTTTTTTTTTTTAAACTAGAACTAACCACTACAATCAATAATTCCTTCACTGGAAATAATTATTCCACTCGAGCGGAATACAAACGGTTTGACCCGGTGCTTAAGAGTTGTGTTAAACAACTGGCGGCAGGTTAAGTAAGGCACTAGAGAGATTTTGGTTAAAAGCACCGTTGTTTTTCCGCCTAGGAGCTGAATGCAGTTACGCTCACATCCCTTCCCGTGCTACCGCACGGGAAGGGATGTGAGCGTAACTGCATTCAGCTCGCTTGGAAACAGAAAAAAGAATTTTTGTGACTGCATTCAGCTCGCTTGGAAACAGAAAAAGGAATTTTTCTAACTGCATTCAGCTCGCTTGGAAACAGAAAAAGGAATTTTTGCCC